AAGTGCCTCCAAGCACGATGCCTGACCTTATTCAGAACATGACCTTTGGCATAGTTACCCGCAATAAAACTACCCCCAGGTTTTTTCTATATGATAATTAGGCATTGCCCTATAGCCAGATGACAGGATCCCCCTATCACATGTAAATAAAGCATACTATGAGCACCTGTCAGCTGAGGCTTTGCTGCCTCCACACTATATTTTCCCTGACCCCCACTGAATAAATGGAGGTGTTTCACTGAATCTGACTCCCAGAAGATCTTTTCCATCGACCCACAAGGGGAGGGAGATACCCACACTCTCCTTCTACTTATTTATTCAGTTTCTCATCCATTTTCTTATTGCTGCCTATTTAATCTGTCACTATGGGAACCCCTCAATCTAAGCCTGAGTCTCTCACTCTCTTGTCTTCTCAAATCTCTAAAACAGCTAGGGCTTTCAGACACCATCTAACCAAAACACATAAAGTTTTTGTGAACCACTGCCTGGCCACCATACAAACTAGACAATGATTCTGTCTGACCAAACACAGAAACCCTACATTTCAATAGTTAAAGGATTTAAAAATTTATTTAAATCTGAGGACAGTTATAACACAGTTTTCCTTAAGTGATTATACTAGAGGTTGTGAGCTTCAGTTTGATAATGTTTTAATGTACCAATTGCTTTTTTCTACCCAGTGTTTAAAAACCCAAAGCAAGTTTTTGGTAAACCATTCTCTAATTACATAAAATAACAGATTACTAATGGTTTTATGTTTTCTCTAAGGTTTATATGGAAACTTATAAAGCATAGTATGTAAATGGATAATATTAATTTAATTACATTATCTTATGTATGTAATTTGGGTTCCATGTTCTTTTATAAGATGATGCTGCACATCACTCCTAAGTCAAATAACTGCCATCTTCATGACTTCACCTCTGTCTGCTTACTAAAAATAATCACAATTGGGCCTGTTAACAGTTACGCCCCTTCATTAAAGGAGGGGTAAGCAGAGTCATTGGACCCTCACCTGAGTATTTAGCCATGCTTCTCTGCCACCTGTATGTAATTCTGCCCTAATTGCAAATGATAGCCTACATTTGAAAAGGACTACAGTATATAATCTTGGGAAGGGAAAGGCTGCAAAGAGAGGGCTTGACCCATGAGGTTATAAAAAAGTCAACATCCAGTGCAAATACTCTCAGGTCACTCATACACCTCAACAACCCCCGAGTCATCTCTGTAAGTAAGCTCAGTGAACTCATTAGTTCCCCAGGAAAACTTTAATGTAATCAAACATTAGTTTGACACTAAAACCTTAGAAGGGGGTAAGCTAAGGTCGTAGTTTAGTCAACTAGTTTAAGGATGTCTAATAAAAGTTTATCTAAAAATGGGTTTTGCCCAAGCTTTATCTGAATAACACATAATAATTAAAAGTGCCAGATTGGTGTAACTAACCTTCTTGGGTGTTTAATAGCCAGACTGGGGCCTATACTAATCTGGTCAGAGGGACTTAAAGGGACAGTTTTTCTTCCTTGCCCTCCTATGTCAACTAAGTTCCAGGGGACTATGGAGCATCTCTCAAAATGTCTGGTAACTGTAGTAAGTCACCTGTCCTCTTGTTCAGAGAGGCCATGGAGACCCCACCAGATGGATTTGAACCAGTGTCCAGTCTACTAAGAGGAGGGTCAACACAGAGGAAACATTTTCTCCATGCTTCCAAGTGAAGCCAGCTACAGTCAAGCAGGATCTTTGACTTATCTTCACATAGATGGAATTGGTAAAAGAAAGGAGCCAGGGGCTCCTCCCAAGCCCATGTGACCCCTGAGGAACAGATCCTCAACCTTAAGAGTAAAAATGAATTGGTTTATCTGTGCCAACTGTATGGTCTTAAACATCCAAAAGGAAAGTATAACCAAAAATTAAAGTGATCAGTATTTCTTTAAGAGTTCAAAGGATTGGGGCTGGAGAGATGGCTCAGTGGGTAAGAGCACTGACTGCTTTTGCAGAGGACCCGGGTTCTATTCACAGCACCCACATGGCAGCTACCAATCGTCCTTAACTCCAGTTCCAGGGGAATCTGGGGCTCTCTGACTTCCTCGGCATTGCATGACACAGGTGCACTCACATACATTCAGGCAATACACTCATACACATAAAATAAAAATAATAAATAAAATATAAAAAAAGTTCAAGGCCGTGCATGGTGGCACACGCCTTTAATCCACCTTTAATCCCAGCACTTGGGAGGCAGAGGCAGGCAGATCTCTGTGAGTTCGAGGCCAGCCTGGTCTCCATAGCGAATCCAGGCCAGCTGGGGCTATAGGGAGACCCTGACTCAAAAAAAGACCAGAAAAAAGAGCTCAAAGGATTGAACTTCCCAGACATTAGGCTTACATCGCTAACTGCCCCCACTCCTCTAGCTACAATGTTACAATCAGGGCAATATTGGTCTAGCCCCAGTGCTACTTTTCCTTTGCTGCTCCAAGATATATAGCTGTATCTCCACACCAGTTAAGGACACCTACACTTCAAGTCGTTCTCACCAGTCAAGGATACCTACACTCCAGTCATTCTCTTACCTAGATTAACCCTATACACCTCAGGAGAGGTGCATGATTCTCTCTCCACAGAAACAAAAAGGAGCAAAGCAAAAAGGCCAGCTACTCTAGCAGTGCTGGTGGGAATCAGCCTGGTACCATCCGTAGCCACCACAGGATTTGCAGCAGGGAGTCTGGGACATGCCTTGCTCTCAGCCCACACCACTCTCAGGAGATCCGGGACCTCAAGCAGGAACTTACTACAGCAGTGGAATCAACAGTTCAGTCAATCCAGATCTCACAACAGCAACTGTCTTCCCTGGCCGAAGTTGCCCTCCAGAACATGCAAGCCCTGATCTATTAACTGCAGAAAAGGAAGGTACCTGCATTTTCTTGGGCAAGGAATGCTGTTATTATATAAACCAATCAAATAAGGTTGAACACAACATAAAATGCCTCCAACAGGTGGCCAAGAATTTCTTTCTTAAAACTTCCCAGTACCAGCAACACCTCAGTGGGATATCTTTTTCAGGACTGACTCCCTGGATTATCGCTTACTTGGGCCCCTGCTCTCTATTACTCTGGTGCTAACCATTGCTCCTTGCCTCTTCAGATCTTTTCAGGGCTGGATACAACAACTAACTCACACCAGCTTTAACCAACTGTTATCTTCTTTTCCCCGACATGTGTATAAACATCTGTCGACCACCAAGGACTTTGTCTAGATGCATGAACTGGAGACCCCCACTGCCTGGCAAGATCTTGACTCCAGCCTTCCCTTCTCCACACTCCACTTTGACCAGAGGGAAGTAGCCATGATGAGAAAATACTGCCCTGTATCCTATAACATGAAAGGCTGGAATGTTAGAGTCCAGGTCTGCAGACCACCCTCTCCCAGTGTAAAAAAGCCTCACAAGACAGGCCATGAGGGCCCCTTGCAAAACAGGAAGTGGCCAGACAGCTACATTTAGAGCTGTCTCAGCACAAAGCTGTTCCCCAGATAATTTTAGAAGATAAACAGGCCCCTGCACCCAGACCCACTGATGTAAGAGCTGTCTCAGTTCAAGCTGCTGCACCTGAAACTGCAGATTAGTTTCTCCCCTTCCACATTCCCCAGCTCCCCTGTAAGAAGTTCCCCAGCAGTCAGCAGGCTGTGGTTGCCTTTCCCTCCCAGCTGAGCTGCTGGCCACCAGCAATCCTAAGAAATCAACTTTGCTTTCCTGGAGTCCTCCTATGTGTCCTGTGGTTTATTCCTTGCCCAGTTTTTAACTAACACATATGGGCACACTGATCATACACACATGTGCACACACCACACACATGTACACATGCAAAACCCTCACAGAAACAAGAAGAAGGTGTGTGGGTCCTGCTTGGTCACAAGGAGAGTTTCAAACAGATGCCAGGCTGAAGGCTGTGTTCTCAGACACCCTGTGCCTCAGATATGGACTGTCTAGGACTGAGGATCCTGTCCTACTGTGCTTTCTGTTGCTGTGATAAAACACTGACCAGGACCAACTTGGGGAACAAAAGGGCTTATATCATCTTACAGGTCACAGTCCATCAAGGGAAATCAGGGCAGGAACTCGAGCAGAGTTCCTCTCTGCTCAGTTCTCTCTCTTTTTTATTATTTTTATTTTATGTGCATGATTGTATCGCCTGCATGTGTGTAAATGTATCCATGTCGTGCAGTGCCCAAGGAGGTCAGAAGAGGGTGACAGATCCCCTGGAACTGGAGTTATGGATGGCTCTTAGCTGCCATGTAGGTGCTGGGAACTGAACCTGGGGCCTCTGGAAGAACAGTAAGTGTTCTTAACCACTGAGCCATCTCTCCAGCCTGCTACTTTTCTTTTTTATGTTATTTTTTTTGGGGGGGGGGTCTTTTTTGCAACAGGGTCTCCCTGTAGCCCAAGCTGTCCTGGAAGTCACTATGTAGATGAGACTGGCCTTGAACTCACAGAGATCTGCCTACCTCTGCCTCCCCTCCTGAGTGCTGGGATAAAATAAGGTATCGTATTTTAAGTGTGTGAGTCTTCTTCCTGCATGTATGTAAGTGCACCTCATGCATGCAATGCCTGCAGAGGCCAAAAGAGGGAGTTGGATCCCCTGGAACTAAAGTTACAGATGGTTGTTAGCCACCATAAGGGTGCTGGGAACTGAACCTGAGTCCTCTGGAAAAACAGCAAGTGTTCTTAACCACTGAGCCATCTCTCCAGCCCTACCTAAGGTTTGAATGGCAGCTGTTACACTAGCAGCTGCTGTCCCCTCAGCTGCATGAAGCACAGAAACATAAAACATAAAAGCTGACAAGGTACTGTAGCCTCAGGAGGTGGAAGCTGGGGAATAAGAAACCTCCATCCTGACGACATCCTCCATCCTGACGACATGCAGGGCTGAATCTCTGGCTCCCAGAGCCAAAGCAATGGACTCCTGGCTACCTGGGCTTGGAGCACCATCAGCGCAGCCATTAAGCCTCTGTACTCCACCTGAGCTTCCAGCACTGAGGACATGCCTCCTCTACTTGTTGGTGGAGATACATGACTCCACCAGCTGACTGGGGTAAGTGATTGAATGACAATCCCATTTCCTCAATTCAGGCCTCACAGTGGTTGGGAAAAGTCCCCCAAGAGTCCCGGGCCTGCCCCCTCCAGAGCCTGTGAAAGGAGAAGTCAGAAGGGTCTTCAGGACGTGAGCGCTTCCTGAGGTTCCTCTTCTGTGGCCGTCACTGTCCCCACAGGCCTCCCAGGGACGTGTCCCTCCAGAGGCCAGACCCAGTGTCCGGGTCCAGCAGGGCCCCCGAGCCCCGAGATGCTCCTGCCTGGGGCCTGCCAGCCTTACACCATCTCCTGGATCGGGGCTGCCCTGAGAGGCCCAGGCCTGGTCTCCAACACCTCAGAGATCCAGCTCAGTCCCAGCCCGCAGGATCATGGCACCCAGCTCACCTGCCAAGTGACCATCCCCAGGGCTGGCGTGTCCACAAAGAAGACAACCAGTGTTCTTAAGCGCTGAGCCATCTCTCCAGCAGTGTTTGCTTTTTGAAACAGGTTCTCATTATGTTGCCCCAACTGGCCTGAAGCTCACTATGCAGACCAGGCTCTGTACCAGCCCTGGGGGTTAGTCCCCCAACTTGTGGCTATTTGCTGTGATTACCTGACTGGTACCCTTCCTTGCAGTGAATAGGAGACCCTGCTTTTAATCTTTGTTTCCCCATGTATGTACATCCCATTATTCAGTAGGCAGAGGCAGGTGAACTTCTGTGAGGTCAAGGCCAGCCTGGTCTACATAACAAGTTCTAGGCCAGCTGAGGCTACAGGGAGACGCTGTCTCAAAAAACTGAAATAAATAAGTACATAATTTAATTTTAAAAAGAGCCAGGTACTAATGTGCTCTGTCCACAGTGATGCCCAGCAACATGGTGCTGAGCACATGGTGCTGTGCAGGGCCCAGAATCTGATCCACAGTGACACTGACCAGACCAGTGTTCAGAGACGGGACTGAGCCATGGGGCAGGACTGGCTTGTTTAGAGAAGTTACCTGTGTCCTTGGGGGATGAAGGCTGGGGTGCAAGGTACCCTGTGAGTGATGGAGATGTTCCCATGTGGTGGTGGTTGTGTGTTCACACAGGAGACACTGAACTGCAGGCTAAACAGGATGTAAATGGGGTGTGGGGGTGTGCACCGAACCTCAGCAAAGCTGAGGTGCTGGAGAGGTGGGAGGCCCTCCCCAAATGAAATGAAAGGAGGAGGAGCAGATCCAGACACCCCCACCCCCGTGTTGCTCTGTCTTCTACCTCTGTCTGTCTCCATGTCTCTTTGTCTGATCTCTATGTCTGTCTCATCTGTGTGTCCATCTCTACTTCTTTCTCTCTCTCTCTTCCCACCCCTCTCTCTGTCTCTGGTCCTAGAGTCCCTGGGGAGCACCCCTCATCTGGAAGTCCAGCAAGGCCAGTCCCTGCGGCTCCTCTGCTCTGCTGACAGCCAGCCCCCTGCCTCCCTGAACTGGGTCCTGGAAGACCGGGTCCTCTCTTGGTCCAGCCCTGTGGACTCCAGAACCCTGGGGCTGGATCTGCCCAGGGTGAAGGCTGAGGACTCAGGTCACTACACCTGCCTAGCAGAGAACAAGCTGGGCTCCCTGAACCGCACCCTGAATCTCTCTGTGCTGTGTGAGTGTGACTGGCTAGAGGCCCCTGGTTCCGGGAGGGCAGCCTGCGGGAGGAGGTGGGGGGCTCAGAGCCCCTGGCTCCCAAGACCAGGCTTATAACAGCCAGATCAGCAGCAGTTTGTGTTGGGGACCCAGTGAGTGATTCACCCACCCATCACCTCCATCTCTGGGATGGGTCCTCTGCCCAGTGGGAAGCCACTGGCCTGTCTGCAGCCAGTTCCCTGTCTTGGTTGCAGATCCCCCAGAGGACCTGAGAGTGCCCATTTGGCAAGCAAACAGGACAGGTAGGAAGCAGGCAGAGGAAGCAGGGCCTTCCCATGCCCGTGGGGTCCAGGTGACAGAGCCCCAGGTCTCCCAGGGCTGGAAATCCTTGGGAATGGCTCCTCCCTTCCGGTCCTGGAGGGCCAAAGCCTGCGCCTGGTCTTTGTCAGCCACAGCAATCCCCCAGCCAGTGTGAGCTGGGCCTGGGTGACACAGACCCTGAGCCCAGTGCATCAGACCCCAGGATCCTGGAGCTGTCTGTGGTTGACAGGGAGCATGAAGGACACTTCACCTGTGCTGCCCAGAACCCGCTGGGTTCCCAGAGCATCTCCCTCAGCCTCTCTGTGCACTGTGAGTGGGAGGGGACACCTGGGGCCTGGGATGTGGGGACACCTGGGGCCTGGGATGTGGGGACACCTGGGGCCTGGGATGTAGGGACACCTGGGACCTGGGATGTGGGGACACCTGGTATGTGGGGACACCTGGGGCCTGGGATGTGGGGACACCTGGGACCTGGCATGTTGGGACACTTGGGACCTGGGATGAGGGGACACCTGGAATCTGGGATGTGGGGACACATAGGACCTGGGATGTGGAGACACCTGGGACCTGGGATGTGGGGACACCTCCGACCTGGGGTGTGGGGACACCTGGGATCTGGGATGTGGGGACACCTGGACCTGGGATGTGGGGACACTTGGGATCTGGGATGTGGGGACACCTGCTGACCATCCTCCATCTGCCCATAGACCCTCCACACAGATTCTGGAACCCTCCTGCTCCCGGGACCCTGAGGGTCTGCACTGCAGCTGCTCCTGCAGAACCTGGCTGGCCCTCTCCCTGCACTGGCCACTGGGGGAGGGGCTTTTGGAGGGGAACAGCCTCCATGGTCATCTCCAGCCTCATGGGACCCTGGGTCAATAGCTCCCTCAGCCTCCTTGAAGAGCTTGGGCCTGGCTTCACGCTTAGCAGTTAGGCCCATTATGACCTCGGGGGCCCAGAGAACCACTGACCTGCTGCTGTTGGGGCCAAGGTGTCTTGTGACACTATTCTTGGGGAGAAGTGAATAACATCAGGGAACCAATTATAGATCAAGTGAGGGCAATGCCAAAGTCCAGCTTGATGAACCAATGAGTTTTATTGGGGTTACTTACTGGAGTACAGGTGAGGGGTTACTCATGGGTTCGGAAATGACTCAAAGACAGCTGCATCACCAAAGCCCACCCCAGCATGGGTGACAAGTCATGAAAGCAGGAAGCCTGGAGTGCACCGCACCACCTGCAGGCAGCTCAATAGGTTGGAGAGTCCTTTCTTGGTAGCTTGGCTGGTCTCTGCCACCTCCAGGCAGCTCAGCTGCTTTGAAAGCATCTTTCAGCAGGCCATAGGGTTTACATAAGCTTGGGGAGGGAGGAGCCTAGTGAACCTGGTTAGTTTCAGGCATGTCCTGAAGTTATTGAGTTGCTTACTTCCTGAGCTTAACAAGCGTCCCTGGAGGGCACAATGTGTCATCTCTCCTGGAAACATCCTTTTTAAAAAATATTTTATCTTTTATTTTATGTATATGAGTGTATTGCCTGCATGTGTGCAAGTATACCTGTGTCATGCAATGGCCATAGAGGTCAGAAGAGGACATTGGATCCCCTGGAACTGGAGTTACAGACGGTTGTTAGCCGCCATGTGGGCGCTGGGAATTGAACCTGGTCCTCTACAGGAGCAGCCCATGCTCTAACCGCTGAGTCACCTCTCCAGCCCCTACATCCTTTGTTTACCTCCTTTTGGGACGCCCTGTTGTTTACCGAGCTTCCTTACAAGATGGAAGGTTTTCTCAGTACTACGCAGGGTCCTGTAGGGGCTTAGGAGGAAGTGAGGGAGGTGAGGGCAGGGTCAGGGGACCCAGATTGGTGCTGGGAGGGAAGGATGCCACCATCTCTGTCCTTTGGCTGCTGGGGAATGAAGATGGAGGATGGTAAGAATTGTGGGGTCTGGTGTCACACACCCCACTGTTCTTCAGGAAAGCTGTCCTGCCCTGGAGCCTCCATGCTGGCTGCTTTGGGGGAATTGGTATGGTGACTCTGCTATTCCTCTCTGCCTGCCTCATCTTCCTCAGGTGAGTGTGGTCCTGACTCCCAGAACCCCCACACAGGGCAGAGTTGCAGGCATTGAGCCTGGGCCAGGGCTCCTGGAAGCTATTGCTGAACCTGGCTGGCCTTTCTGCTCAGGGTGAAGAACTGCAGGAAGCCCAGGGGGAAGGATACGGCCCAGTGCCCCAGACCCTGTCTGCAGGGTGAGTGGGGAGCCTGCCACCCACAGCACCACACAGGTCACCAACTGTTTGTTTTGTTTTTGAGCCGGAGTCCCATGTAGCCCAGGATGGCTTCAAATTCAATTTGAAACTGAGGATAAACTTCAACTCCTGATCCTGCCTCTGCCCACTAAGTGCTGGAATTACAGGCACCATGGTACCTGGTATATGCAGTACTGGGGATGGAACCTGAGGTCTTGAACATGTTAGGCAAGCACTCTCTCAACTGAGCTATATTCTCGGCCCCCCAAGAGGCATTTGCTGCTGGTGCCCATGGACACAGCCCTGAGCCGAGTGGCCGAGCCTCTTCCCCATTACCTGGCCAAGACCTCCCAGGCCTGTACACTCCACCTGGGCTGTGCTCCACATCCTCCCTCCCTGCCACCTCCTCACTCCCCTCAGGATCAACGAGCCTTCCCCTTTTCCATTTTTCTCCTCTACACACATGGTAATAGGAGGTCCCTTAAATCATTCCCATGTGCTGCAAACCTGGGCCCAAAGCCCCTCAGATACCCATTGCACAGGGCTCCCCCAGGCCATGCCAGGGTCTGACAATCTCTGCAAGACTGGAACTCAGCTCATTTGTCACTGTTGCAAACAGTAGACCAGGGGGCAGGGCAGGGGGCAGGGCAGGATTCAGGGTTTAAATAAATAGAGAGCAAGTCCTTTTTGTAACAGTTCTGAGGGAAATCAGAAGTTCTCAGAACAGATTGATTCACTCCTGGTTCTAACCAACCCCAAAGAGTCAGGCTGTGTTTGTTTAGGCACTGACATAACATGATGTCATTACTGCAGTCAGTGCCCAAGAGTCAAACATTACTACCATGAAATACACGAGTATGAACACATGAGGGAGTGGATGAATGAGGGTCCAGCCAGTGTTTGTTGAGTGAATACATGAAAGACAAGCTGCTGTTTCCATGCTTACTTCATCCTCCTCGCTCTCGGCCAGCCCTCACTATCCTAATGACTCCTGTCTCTCTTTATTCAGGTTTGTAAACATGAGTGGCCCTCAGTCAATTCCCCAGACAGGATTTGCTGCAGCCACTCCCACATCTCAGAAGGAGCTCGAACAGCATTACACATCACTCTGCTTCCAGGAGGACCCCCAGCTCCTCAGAGTATGAAGAGATCCAGATCCACACATGACATCCCAGGAGCACCGGGGTGTCTCCATGGAGGGAGACATCACAACAGACCCTACAGCAGCTGTTCACCATGAAACAGGGCACCAACTAGGGTCGGGGGTCCACATGCATGGGGACTCTGTTAGATTTCAGAGCACAGAGTACTGAAACGGAGAATGAGAGAGAGACCACTTCTGATCTCAACACAGTGAGGGGTAACAACCTTCCCTTGGGATGGAGGCTGTGCAAGGTCAGGGGAGCTGGTCAGAGTCTTATACATAACTGGATGGTTGGGAGACCAGACTTTCTGTAGTCAGGGGTCCTATGTTGTGCCAGTTTCCTTCGAACTCCAGTTTCTTCCCCAGTGTTTGAGCGAGTTCCTTCCCCCCTTGCTCAAATGGACACTGTCCCCCAAATATACCTGCTGCTCTGGTGCATGAAGGAAGCCATCAACATAGAACATGGGGGCTGTGACCCCAAAGGTCACCTCCCTCCCCACCTCCAGATGTGGAGCCCACCAGGACGGACAGCCCCAGCTGCCGACAGCCTGAAGGCTCAGCTGAGGCAGTGGGCTGCAACGCAACGGGAATCATCCTATTCTCTCCAATACCCCGAAGGGAGTCCTGCCTCAGAGCCACACCTGAGGACCCTACCTGTGTCTTTTAGATCCTCTCATTCATCTGATAAGTTCTATGTATACAAATTAGATTTTATTTAAATTACATGTATATGTGTAGGAGTGGGGGGAGGTGGTACACGCCTGTGCCTTGCCTGCAGAGGTCAGAAAAGGGTGTCAGCTTCCTGGAGCTGGTATTGCAGGTGGTGACGAACCACCCAGCTCCTTGGGTTATCTGGAAGACCAGCAAGCGCTCTCAACCACTGAGCTGTCTATCTCTCCAGCTTGAGTGAGTTATTTTGATCCCTAAGGCATGAACTTGTCCTGGGGAGTTGTGAATAAACATTGCCTTACCCCAGCCAGCACACTTATGACAAAACAAATGAGTCCACCAAAGTCCAACTTGGCAAACGGATGAGTTTACTGGGCTTGCTCACACAGCACGGGGGAGGGGTTTCTTGCAGGAGCATGGGTGACCCCAAAGTTTTTAGCATCACCAAAAAACTCCACCCAGCAGAGATGACAACTTCCCCCTAGCTGTATAGATGGATTCCCTCCTTCAGCTCACCTTCTGTACTCTGTGCGCTTTAGCATCTCCTTGGCCATGGGGCAGAGGTACATGCAGCGGGCAGGGAGGTACAGCATGGAGCAGCTGGACTCTCAGATGAGGGTCACAGCCCTCCCCAGCCCCTCCTTCTGTGAGGGATTCAACAGTCATCAGGCCAGATCTTGAGGGTCTCTTACAAGGTACCATGGGTGCTCTGATGAAGGTGGTAATAGCTGTTATGCTCAGAGGGCAGTGTTTTACAACAGAGGCATTCTGCCACGCCTAGCTTTAATTATATGTATGTATGTGTGTGTGTGTGTGTGTGTGTGTGTGTGTGTCTGAATGTATGCCACATGTGTGCAGGTGCCTATGGAGACCAGAAGATGGCATTGGATCCACTGGAACCAGAGTTTCGGATATTTGAGAGCTGCCGTGTGGGTGCTGGGAATCAAATTCAAGTCCTCTGGAAGGGAAACCCTTGTTCTAAACTGATGAGCCATTTCTCCAGCTCCCATGCCCAGTTCTGTTTTGTTTTTTTAGAGAATGGGTCTTCCCATAGCTGGCCAGGAACTCACCATGTGAACCAGGCTGGCCTCCATCTCACAGCAATCCATCTGCCTCTGCCTCCTGAGTGCTGGGATTAGAGGTGTGCCCATCCACAGCAGGCTGCATGCCCAGGTTTTTATGTGGGTTGCTGGATATCACTGTACTGACCCAGCTGTCTCCCCAGACCTTTTTTTTTTTTTCGTCTTTTGGAGACAAGGTCCCCCTGTAGCCGCAGTTGGTGGCCTGGATTCACTAAAAGAGACCAGGCAGGGCTCGAACTCACAGAGATTGGCCTGCCTCTGCCTCCCAAGTGCTGAGATTAAAGGCGTGCACCACCACACCTAACTGCAGACCTTTTTCAAGACTAACTTCTATCGGATCCAGTTTTGGTTCCCAGCACCCACATGGCAGCTAACAACTGTCAGTAACTCCAGTTCCAGGGGATTCAACACCCTCTTCTGACCTCTGTGGATATTGCACAATATGGGTACACTTACATACATGGAGGCAATACACTCATACACATAAAATAATAAATAAAACATTTGTCTTTTTGAGACACGGTCTCCCTGTAGCCCCAGCTGGCCTGCAACTATGTAGACCAGGCTGGCCTCAAACTCAGTGATCCATCTGCCTCTGCCTCCCAAGTACTGGAATTAAAGGTGTGTGCCACCAAGACTGGCTTAAATAAATATTTTTAAAGACTATTTTCTAATCACATAAACTACCATCAGTTAATGGCTGTGTGTGTGTGTGTGTATGTGTGTGTGCATGTGCAAGCCCACAAACCTGTGCATGTTGTGTGTGGAGACCAGAGGTCAATGTTGGGGTGCCTTCCTTTATCCTCTTTCACTTTGAGTCTGGAGCCCACTGATTCAGCTAGGCTGGCTGACCAATGAGCTTCAGAGATCTGCTTGTCTCTGTCTCCCCAACTGAGATTACAGGTGTGTCACCACGCCTAGCTTTTAAAAAATATTATATCTTTTTTTTTTTTAATCCTAGCACTCGGGAGGCAGAGGCAGGAGGATCTCTGTGAGTTCGAGGCCAGCTGGGGCTACAGGGAGACAGTGTCTCAAAAAGACATATACATATATGTTTTTTTAATATATATTTTAAAATATGCTGGTTAGTTTTTGTCAACTTGACACAAACTAGTCACCTAAGAATATAATTGAACAATTTCCTCCATCAGATTGGCTCATGTCCATTTTCTCGACTGCTAATTATGTAAGAGGGCCCAGCCCACTGTACATGTCACCATCCCTAGGTAGGTGGGTCTGGGCTGTATTAAAAAAAAAAGTATCTGAGCAAGTCCTGATGTGAACAGGAAGCAGCCTTCCTTCATGATCTCTGCTGGAGGTCCTGTCCTCAGTGATGGACTGTGATTGGAAGACAAGATGAAACAAGCCCTTTCCTCCTCAAGTCACAGCAACAGAAAGCAAACTAAGACAATGTCTTTGGGGTGGAGCGAGATTTGTACATGTGAGTGCAGAGCTCACAGAGGCCAGAAGAGGGCGTCAGATCTCCTGGAGCTAGAGCTACAGGTGGTTTTGAGCCACCCAATGCGGGTGCTGGGAACCGATCTTGGGGTCTCAAGAACAGTATTCAGTCTCAACCACTAACTTTTTACATGGGATCTGTTCTGGAGAGTGAAGTCACATCAAGCACTTTAGGGACTGAGTCATCACTCCAGCCCTCCCCGCCCCCTTCCGGAGCTATCCAGCCCCTCTGGCTCTAGGTGTGTGGGGAGGGCTGCTTCCAGCTTGTCTTTCTTCTGCTTCTTTTTAGTATTTTATTATTATTTTATGTGTATGAGCCTATTGCCTGGGGAGGTCAGAAGAGGGCATCAGATTTCCCTGGAACTGGAGTTACAGTTGCCATGTGGGTGCTGGGACTCAAACCCAGGTCCTCTGCAAGAGCAGCCAGTGCTGAGCCAGCTCTCCTTATGTGTGTGGTGTTCTTTTTGAGACAGGGTCTCCCTGTAGCCCTAGCTGACCTGGATTCACTATGGAGGCCAGGCTGGCCTCGAACTCACAGAGATCTGCCTGCCTCTGCCTCCCGAGTGCTGGGATTAAAGGCATGCGCTACCACACCCAGCCCCTCTCCTCATGTTTTAATGTACAAAATAAATAGCCTCAGGGCTCAAAGTGGCTCCTTTATGGGTAGTTCATCATGTCTCACTTGGATCTTCCCAAGTGTATTTGACAGTGGACAATTGGTTAGGTTTTGGTTGGTTTCATTTTGTTCTGAAACAAGGTCTCACTCTGTAGCCTACTCTGGTCTCACACTCAGAGCAATCCTCCTGCCATAGCTTCCCAAGTGCTGGGAGTACAGCCAAGAGCCACCAAGCCAGGCTTATTCTCCCATTTCAGGCAAGCGCTCAACCAGAGAATTCCAGCCTCAGCCCTTTGGAGCTGCCCTGAGACTCCCTCCCTAGTCTCCTCTCAAAGATAAGGCACACAGGGCACAGGAAGGTCTGCACTTTATTTGTGTCCACAAACCCTGAGGATCAGCCCCTCACCTAGATGCAACCCTCCCCAACACCTTCGCAAAACACTGATTCTCTCCCAGAACTAAAATGACCCCAGACTACCACCCTTCTTCCCATCGGTCAGCACATCCACCTGCCCTGCGACTTGGCTTCCCTCCCAGATACAGGTCCCCAAGGACTTATGTTCTGTAGTCCCCTCACCCCCCAAACCCCCCCAAGCAGTCATCCTCTGTGGCTTCCTGCCTCTCTCCACTGCTAGGCCTGGCTACCCCTCGGCACCCAACTAAGGCTACTTGCCAGAAATCACTTAAGATTCTGGCCAAGGTTTGAGCTGGCTGCCTGAATTCCCTGAAGGCCTCAGTTCTCAGCTGCACTGAAGGGGTGCAGATGCTAAGCCAAGCATCCCATGATGGGGCTGGAGTGGACAAGGGTAAGAGGAGGGTGAAACAGGGCTAGGGAGAAGCTGGAGATGGGGACAAAGGGACCCGTTCTGAAGCCTGAAGTGCCTTAGAGCCTTCCCTGCACCCTAGCTGCTGCGGGTCCTCTGGCTGCGGGCCTTGTACACCTCGATGAGTAGGTCCTTCACATACTGGATCTCTCGCTCCACTGACTCGGCCCTCTCCCTCAGCTCCCGGTTCCTGGCCTCCAGTCCCTGGCACTCGCCCTCCAGGGCCTCGCCCTCTGCCCTCTTCCTCTGGCGATACCTGAGAGCCGCAGACTTGTTCTGGTCTCTCTTCTTCTGCTTGCGGTCCCCTCGGGGAGTGGGAGGACTGGGGTAGGGGGCTGGGCGGGAGGGTAGAGGCAGAGGAGGGGGAGGAGGGGGCTGCTGGGGCACAGGCAGGGGCGCCAAGCCTGCATCCCCTGAGCCAGCCTCACTGCGGCAGTAGACAGCCAGCAGGTCCAGGGTATCCAGAGCAGGGGGCTGAGGGAGGTCAAAGGTGGGCAGGGGCAAGGGAAGGGGCAGGGAGGGCGCTGCTGGCAGTGGTGGGGGGGGCGAGGGGGGAGGGAGGAGCGGAGCATCAAGGAAGAAGTCTTCCATCTGTTCTAGCTCTTTCTTGAGCAGGGAGGCCATGGCTTCCAGATCAGGGGGTGCTGGGGAGGGTGGGGGGAGGGTGCCTGGGGGCAGGGGGGGCTCCAGAGGGAGGAGGGCCGTGAAGTCAACCCGCTCTGTCATCCAATCAGAAAAGCCGTCACCTGAGGATGGAGGGGGACAGAAAGGTCTCTGAGGTCTGTCCTTCACCCACCTGGTGCACACTTAAGCCTGTCCCATTCAGACAGTCTATCACCTTCACTCAGTGGGACAAGACAGCAGTTGGCCAGCCAGTGGATCTGTCCAGTGAGCAGGGAAGGAGCCACTGAACCAGGCCACCAACCAACCAAGCCACTAACCAATGAACCAGCCAACTAACCAGCTAAGCAACCAACCACCAGCCAATCAACCAATCAGGCAATCACGTAGTTCATCAGTCAACCAACTGATCAAGCCACTAACCAATCAGTGAACTCACCAACCAGCCAACCAATCATCCAACAGTCAACCAATGAAGTGATCAATCACTCAGTGATTGGTCAACCAACCAATGACCCACCCAACAGGTGCAACTGTCTTCCATTCTGTGTGATTGGCTGCACACCCTTGTACCTTTGGTTTCTAGGGCTCATTTAGTTTTTTGAGACAGGGTTTCATATAACTCAGGCTATCCTTGAACTTGCTCTATAGTTAACAATGACCTTGAACTTCTGGTCTTCCTGCCTCTACCTCCAGAGTGGATTACAGATGTGCACCATAACACCCTGATATTTATTCTTAAAAGGCACACCAGATCATACTGCATGCACACACAGTCCACTTTCATTCATTTTTGTTTTCTGTTTTTGAGACAGCCTCTTGCTATGTTGCCCAAGCTAGCCTCAGACTCCCAGGCTCCAGCAATCCCTTATGCCTCAGCCTCTGGGGCAGTGGGAACTACAGGCCTGTGCCACCAGGTCCAGCCATTCATTATTAAACTCCATCTGGGCCAAGTTCCTGGGATATGGTAATGGAACAATTTCTGCCTCAGAGCCTCTAAGCTGGGGAGACCCTTGGGCCTTCTAATGATCTTTAGGCCTCTGTCCATATGCTGCCTACCTGGACAGGGCTCCTGGCTACCTGAATCCTAAACTAGATCCTTTATGACTTTTCAGGGCAGCTGCTAAGTTTTCCCTTCCTATCTTCCCAGTACCCCATGAGCTCAGATGACTTGCTCTGTTCCCAGTTGCACCCTGCACACCCAGAAAAGTGTAGGGCCTGCTGTAGCCATTCAAATACTGACCTTGTGAATGAATGGATTCTTCCTTTCTCCCGTCCCCCTACCCCCAGCTCACCCCACCTCCATTCTCCAACTGTTCGTACCTGCCAGGGGCTCTCCCCCCCCTGGAAGCCCGCCCTCCAGGGCTCCCCCAAGGACCTCATAGGGGCCCAGGGGGGCAGGGGCCAGGGGGAGTTTCCCATAGTCTACGAGCCAGCCCAGCCCGCTAGCTGGGAGCAGGGCCCTGTCCAGCTCCAGCCCCAGGGTCGCCAGGAGTGACATGACTGAGGCACAGGCGTGGGGCACTGACGGCAGTGGAGGCTGTAGCACCAGCTGGGAGGCGGCTCAGGAGATTGCTCAGCTGAGTGAAGACAGGCACCAAGGTGAAGGTGGAGGACCTGTGAGGAGACAGGAGGGAGTGAGGTCAGAGGCCTCCCAGCCCGTGGGCCACTCACAGTACATACCCTGGAGACCTCCCTCCCCTCCAAACTTGGTTTAGGACTCCCTGCCTTCTAAATCCACCCTTCTCTTCCCAAAGTCCTATGCTCCACACACTCCCAAGAGAATTCTTTTTTTTTTCTAATTTATTATTTTTACTTTATGTGTATGAAGTGTATTGCCTGCATTGTATGTAAGTGCACCCATGTCATGCAATGCCCATGGAGGTCAGAAGAGGACGTGTGATCTCCTGGAACTGGAGTCAAGGACGGTTGTTAGCTGCTAAGTAGGTGCTAGGAACCAAACCCAGGTCCTCTGCCATGTGGGTGCTGGTAACTTAACCCGGGTCCTCAGCTCTCCTTTGTTTTTTTTTTCTTTTTTTCCCTTCTGCTTAATTGCTGAGCCATCTCTCCAGCCCAAGAGAATTCTTTAAAACTCCCAAGCTCCACCAGTTCCCTCAACAGAGAACCCTAACAGTTTCCCAAGGGTTATTACCTTAAGCCCCTCCCACCCACCTTAACATACTCCTCTTCCCAAGGGAATTTTCTTCCAGCCACACCCCTTCGCATCAGTATTTTCTTCAGGCCACATCAGGCCTCAGGAGACTCCCCCCAGGCTGGGGCCCTTACGACTACTCAAATCCCACTCTTCCCGTGAAACTTTAGAATGCCCTCCATTGTCCCTACAAGAAGCCCCTCCCACTCTCCTGTCCATCTTGGGCAGGCCCAGCCCCCAAATAGCGCGTCCCCAGAGGCCCCGCCTCTTTGTCCTGGCGAAGCCCCGCCCCTTCCGACACTCTCCCTAAGTCTGCGGTCCTGGCTCCCCTTCCGGAGCCTTCTTCCCTGTCAATCTAAACCAGTCCCCGTCCCCACGAGTGCCTGATTGGAAGGAAGCTGGGCCTTGAGCCGGAGACACCTGGCTCCGATTTGGAAGCCGTCCATTACGCCGCCACCGCCTGGCGATCAGTGCACATGCGCGGCCAATTAAGGGCTGCCCTTCGTTGTAAGGGCGCAACAGAGTTCACATCATCCTCTGAAAGGGGGCGCTGGGGATCACTGCGCATGCGCAGCCAAGTACAGTGTTCGGGCTCGGACAGGCTAAGTACGGGCGCAACAGACCGCGTCCTTGACCTGGGGCTCACTTCCCGTGCGCAGCCAATTACGGGCAGCCCTTCGTTGTACGGGGCTCAGAAGAGCTAAAGCGCGTGCGTAACAGAGGCCGGCATCCTCTGGAAGCGGGGAGGGGACGAACTGGGGATTAGTGCGCAGGCGCAACCGCACGCGGGTCCGCCTCAAATACCAACCTCCCCCCCAATGCCTCGAGCCGAGTGCGCATGCTCGGCGGCCGCGTAGGCTACGATCTTCTGCGTCTGCGCGACGGTGATTCCACGCTCGGCGTCTCCCCACCCACTCCGAGGCTGGTCCGTGAGGCCCCGCGAGCTCCGGGAAAGGGCGGGAAAGGCGGTTGAAGAGGGAGGGGCGAGCGGTTACTCACTCCATGGCTGCGTGGAGAGGCGGCGACCGCGGCTGCCTGGGCTGAGGCGAGACGGTGGGAGCGGAGAGCGCAGGCGCGGTGAGCGCGGTGACCAGGCTGGGCGGTAACGGCGGGGGTCGCGGCTACAGAGCCATGGCGGCGGCGGGAGCAGGAATGGAGACGACGCTGGGAGGACCGGGAATGAGGCGGCCCCGGGGACCGGGGGCAGATATAGCGGAGGCGGCGCAGCGCGGCCCGCCTGGATCCTTCCGCGCTCCGCCCTCGCGTGGCCCCGGCGGGGCGGCGGCTGTTCAGAGGGTTCGGTGCGCCGTGCCGGGAGCCGGCGGCTGCCTGAGGGTATCCTGACCCCCCTCCCTCACCCGTGGCCCACTCGTGTCCCTTCCTACTCCACGACCCGCCTTGCCTGGGCCCGCAGCCGGCGGCCTGGGGGTGTCCTGACCCCCCCCTCCCCCGCATCCGTGGCGAGCTCGTGTTTCACTACACACCATGCCCGGACCCCGAGCCGGCGGCGGCCTGGGGTGTCCTGACCCCCCCCCCACCCGAAACCATCTAGCTTTACTCGCCAGGCAACGTTTGATGTCCCTGTCAGTCCTGTTCCGCCTCCTCACCCCCCCCCGAAAATAAATGATACCTCTTAGAAGCAACTTTAGAGCCAGCCACAGTGATGCTTTTATCCCAGCACCCAGGAGGCAGAGCCAGGGGATCTCTGTGAGATGGAGGCCAGCCTGGTCTACATAATGTGTTCTAGGCCAGCTGACCCTGTGTCTCTCCGCCGCCCCCCCCCCCCCCCCCCCCCCAAAAAAAATACCTCCGAGCCAGGCTGAGGAGGGTCTGGGGGGGGGGCGGGGGGGGGGGGTCATAGGCATATCCGAATGCCATCCCGGCGTGGCCTTGGGCAAGTGCTCAGTGCTCACTTCCCTTATCTGTACTATGAGAAAAATCTGTTCTGGGCCTAGCACGTGGGAGACTGGGGCCAGAGCTTGGCAGGATCAAGACACAACAGAGACCATCTCCCCTGCCCCCATAAATCTATATGCACACAAATATGTATGCCTGATGTGGAGCTCAGCTACGGTGTCATGAACATAGAAGTATTCTTTTCCTGTTCAATGCGTATATTTTTATATTATTTTGTTTTTTAATTTTTGGTCTTTTTGAGACAGGGTCTCCCTGCATCACCAGCTGGCCTGGAACTCACAGACATCCACCTGCCTCTGCCTCCGGAATGCTGGGATTAAAAGCATGTGCCACACTTTGCATGTGGAGGTCAGGGATAAATAACTTCGTGGAGTCAGCCCCCTCCTACCATACGCGTCCCTGGGCTGGACCCCACTGGCCCCTTCCCAATGTATTTTTTAAAATTTTTTATTGGTTTATTTTATGTGTATGAGTGTTTTTCGTGCATGTATGTAAGTGCCTCCCCGGTGGTGGTGTGCCCAAGGAGGACAAAAGGGCATTGGATCCCTTGGAACTGGAGTTAAACACGACCGTTGTTGGCCACCATGTGGATGCTGGGAATCAAACCCTGGTCCTCTGGAAGACCAGCCAGTGCTCTTAACTGCTGAGCCAGCTCTCCAGCCCCTGCTCAATGTATTTTCTTCTTGCTGGGAACTCTGGTGAGCCCAGTCTTACTTCTTCCGGACCCTTGACCATCTGACATGACATGTCCATTTGCTCACTCTTTGTATGGCCCTTAATCTCTCAAGGTTTCCGTTTTTCAGAAGTCCCAACTAGTCCCCATTCTACAGACCGTTCTCCATCCCTGCTGGCCTTCCCAGGCCCTTATCTAGTCACAGGGTTTATTCTTCTCTGACTTAGGTTCAGTCCTTGACCTCTGCTGCCCATTGGGTAGGAATTATCTCCTGGCCCTGTCCCAGATAGGACACTTATGTTCCCTTTAGTGAAGTCTTCCTGCTCCTCCCCAGGCAGATGCATGAACCCCCTGCTCTTTCCCACCCTGTGTCAATCCATATTGACATCCCACCAAAAGTCACTCACCTGTCATCACCTAAGGCGAATGAATTGTAGGTTAATGGAGTGCTGCTTCTATCTGAGCACTGCCAACTCTGACAGCCTGATTTCAATCCCTGGGTCCACATGGTGGAAGGAGAGAACCAACTCCCAGAAGTTATCCTCTGACCGCCACACTTCAGTGACGGCAGGTGTGCACACTAAACAAATGTAATTTTAAAAGAAGGCCAGGCGTGGTTGTACACACCTTTAATCCCAGCACTCCAGAGGCAGAGGCAGGCAGATCTCTGAGTTGGAGGCCACCCTGGCCAGCAAGTTCCAGGAACACCTGTCTGAAATACAAAGTGAGTTCTTGGCCAGTTTGGACAATTTACCAAGACCTTGACTCAAAAAGGGGGTTGGGGGGTAGGAAATGTAGGTTAGTGGTAGGGTGCTTGCCAAGCCTGGGTTCTATCCTTGATACTTAGAAAAAGATTTTGCCAGTCATGATGGCTCCCTCCTTTAATCCCAGCACTTGGGAGGCAGAGGCAGGTGGATCTCTGAGTTCAAGGCCAGCCTGGTCTACATAGTGAGTTCCAGGACAACTGGGGGCTACAGAAAGACCCTGTTTCAAAAAGAAAAAAAAAAAAGATCCTAAGGGGGCGGCACAACGTGATGACACAGTGACTGAAGTTGAAAGGTCCCTGCAGGAAGTGGCTGGGCGCTGAGCATTTTGGAACATTCTGCTGTGGTGTGAGCACTGGCCTTGCATTGCAGCCACAGGAGCTGTGTGGCAAGTGCTAAATCACAGCTTCTGGAAGCAGCCTGCTCACACCCTGGCTGCACCCCCACTTAACTGTGGGGCTGAGTTAGCCCGTGTGGAGTGCCAGGCTAGCACCTGAGACACGGGTGCTACATAGAAGCTGCTGCGGTCGTGGATGTGTTCTGTCTCCATCACAAGAGTGGTGCGTTCCAAAGCACTGAGGGCTTGTTATCACTGCTCTTTGGATGGATCTTTTTATCCCGGCTGTACCTCCAGCCCAGGGTGTTTGGGCGGTTGTTTGAGACAAGGTCTCTTGTATCCCAGGCTGGCCTCTTAATTTACTATGCAGTTGAGCATGACCTTGAATTCCTGATCTTCTGACCTCTACCCCAGCTACTGAGATGACTGGCATACCAGGCCATGCTCTATTCATGTGCTGGGGGTGAAACCCAGGGCGTCATGCATGCACTGTACCAACAGAACTACATCCCTAGTCCTTCCCTTGGTGGTGGTGTTTGGGTGGGGTGATATTGCTATGATGTTGTGCCCCGGAGGCATTTTAAATGAACTTTTGGAATACTTTTAGATGTAAAGTTGCAGAGACTTTATGGGAGATTGCGGGTGCCCACCCTGCAGATTCCTACCAATGATCTGCTAGACGACTGTCAAGTCACAGCCAGGGGCCTGCACCGCCTGGCTTGTTGGCCGCACTCTTCCAGTCCCACTGGTGCTTGTCCCAATTGCCTCTTTTTTGTCCTAGGGTCACATTCTAGACGCTCATCAGCCCCGAGGCTCCTTTGTGTCCTCCACACTTTGGTATCGTGCCGCCTTGTGCACTGAGCCCTGGCAGTTTTGCTATTGCTCGTGGTGGCTGGGTGCTTTCCAACAGTGATTGAGCTTGGTTTTGACTGGGACTGCAGTTTGGGCCTGTAAGGGGTACTTGTTAGTATCTCAGGTATCTTGTTTATTGGCAAATCTTGCTGCTGGCTGCATGTGGTTGATGTGTGCTGACTGGGAAGGCCTCTGTGGGTTCAGGGACCTCTGCCAGCCTTGGCCCTGTGGCCCCTTTCAACTGAATCCCACCCAGTTCAGTGCCACCCCTGACTCAGTGGTGCTGAAGGATGCCGTTTCCTCACTTGGCTGCCATCCCCTTCCCTGGCGTGTGGATGACCACCACTGGGTGGTGGTGGTGGTGGTGGTGGGTCATCTATGGTGGCCAGCACCTTGAGCCTCAGGCAGCGTCCAGTTCCAACCTAGGCCTGTGCACAAGCCCCTGTCCAAAAAAGGAAAACCTCTGAAATTAAAGTTCAGTGGGTTATTCAGATAACCCTTCCTTTTCACAGCTGGGGCTAGGAATAAGGATGGGGCTGCTTGGAACTCTTTTCCGGTGCGGAAGGGGCCTGGCCTGGGGAGTGAGTTGGCTGTTGCAGGCAGTTGCATCAGCCCTGGTTCTGGTGGGGGGTGAGGGAGTTCTCTGGGGGCCTCAGTACCTGGCAACTGCTCCTGGGTAGCAGAACCCTGGATGGAGGCCCCAGCACAGCAGGGGGAGAGGCAAATGGAGAGGATCAGTGCCTGGGCAGGACCCAGAGAATCTGGGGCTTTGTGCCCAGAAGGGGCCCGGCAATCCTGGAGGCCCCAGCTCAGCTTTCAGAAGACAATACTGAGGCCTGAAGGGGCAAAGGCAGTTGTGCACAGCCACAGCTCCCTTGGATAGGCTTCCTACCCTGACCAACTTCCAGGGTCCCTGGAGGCCTTGAGCCCAGACCTTCACCTTGGTTTACTCCTTGCAGACTCTTGGAGTACTGAATTCTGGCCACCCTAGAGGAGGCCCACCTCCCTATTATTGGGTTTTTTTTTTCTTTCATATTTCTGGTTATTGTGCAAAGAAATAGTTTTCACTGTGACACCCTCGTTCATCTAAACCCTTGCAGTCCTTTGTCCTCATCACCCCTGCTGTCCCTCACCATCTGTACTGTTACTGAGAAACCCCTGGCTGGTTTCTCAGTTGAAGCAGCCCTGTGTGATGGAAAGGACTTGGGGTTTGTATCAGACCAACATGGAGCCAGGCGGATCCCTGCACCTTGATTTCCTTCTGCATAGCAGGTGGGACCCTCCCTGCCAGTTGATGTCCCTGAGCCAGTGCATGTAACATCATCTCTGGCTCATTTTCCTCAGAGGACCCGCCTGAGGTGCAAGGTGGTGGTGAGTGTCTGCTTAGTACTCAGGTGGTGGGGATGAAAGAAGTGACCAAGGGAAAGCCCATGCTTTGGGGGAGTCGGGGCTGTGTGGTTTCTCTACTCACTTGTATGTTCTGAGCTACTTCACGGGTGGATGTACTTGGCTCTTTCCCAGAATCCTCTCTGCAGCCCCCAGCACAGCGTCCCTGTTGTGCTGTCCCTATCCCACCTCCCTCTCCCTCAAGGAGC